TCACTGATAATGTGGTCTCAAATTCTGAAGTGTAACTTTAAAGGGGGACTTCTTATGTTCTTTCTGTAGGTACAAGTGTACATATTCCAAAGGAGTACAATGGTAGCAGCATGAAGATTTTATTAATGCAAAACACAATGTTGTATTTTGCAAAAGAAATAACATAACTAAAAAGTGACTTCACAGGAAACTATAGTAACTGTATGACAACTAGAATTAATGCTAGATAATCTCCTGACAAAGCAACTCAAGTTTCCCTTTTCATGTTGTACAATAGCAGAATCACTACAAAGATATGCAGACACATTATAACAAGGGGTTTTTTTTTCCTTGCTAAACTTAGTAATTCTTGAAAAAGAAAATAAAAGAGACAATTATTTGTAGGTAAAACTTCCAGGATTCAGACACCTAATTACCCGAATATACACACAAATCAGATATTTAAACATCTGAATAATTTATTGTGTTCACAAAACTGGAACCTAGAATGAGGCACCTTTAAAAATCTGGTAATACTAGATAAAATGGGACAAAATCTTCTATGACTTAGCATCTTTGGCAATCTTTTAGTGCAGTTAACATGAAGGAAATATAAAGATAAAATAGGCCAATTCCTTTACTAACGTACATCTTACCAGTACCCTGTGGCTCATCTACACACATTTTTTGACCAGTATTATTTTGTTGAGTATTGCAGTTTTTTTCACTGGTTATACCCACACAACTCCTAGCCTGGGGGTACTTATAAAAGACTTGTATAGTGATATATCCATATAGATTTATTTCCCTTACAGAAAGCACCATTATACTGATATGACTGGGTATATGATAGGAGTGGTGATACTTTAATTATAGAGGCATAATTAAAGTGGTATAAATTTGGTGTGTAGTCAAGCTCTTAACGGAGCAATTCAATGAGATGGTAAAATTCAGACACATACTCAAGTCTGTATTAAAGCTAGTCATATGTTTACATTTAGACAAGGATTACATTCAGTGCTAATTTGTACCTTAGTAAAAAACCAAAAACTGAGTCATTATGTGTTGGTGTTGATTATTAAGAGGAACAATGCAATAAAAATATACGGTTGCACAAGATACGAGTCAGAGATGAACCTGACTAAATGTCCATAAGAGTAAATCAAGAATTAATCATTTTATACACATTCCACCACAGGTTGTGAATTCAAAGGAAAAAAACAAGCAGCAGGGAGTAATGTTGATGATTTAGTGTTGCTTTTTCCCTCTGAGTTTGTATTGAACCAACACCAGCACTACAGGATGCATCAGAGATAGCTGCACTTCAGAGGTGGATGTAAAATCCATTACAAAAAAACAAAACAATTTTTAAAAGACTTCAGAATCTTCTCAGACAGAAAGCGCTATATAAAAATGCAAATATTATCTATGGCTGTTGTTATATATTTGAAAATATGCTGCTTTCTGTCTGGTATGTTTAGTGTGTTAAATACAAGACAGGCAAGACTTAGCCCTAGTGGAGACAAAATATCCCACAGTAAGTGGGACCCTTAGATAAATAGCGTATGTATACACTTAATCCTGTTTTGAATTTGCCGTGATGTGAACATGCCTACACAGGTGTGTGTATAAGCATGCCTATAATGCGTGTGTGTATTTTATATGAATGACATATAGATGAACAGCTTGGTCATGAGAATAAGAACTCTAGAATTGATGGAGCAGTTTTATTTAGGATTTGGCATTCCCCCTCGCATGAAACTTGAACCAGAACTTCAGATGAGTAGACTGCATACTTAAGGAGTTGTAGAATGTAAATAGGTCACCGTTTTCATATCTTTAACATCTGTTGTTTATACCCAAGAAAGCACACCAGGGGCAAGAAAATTAATTCCCCAATTGCTGTCAACTAAGTTAGGGAACAGCAATAAACAGCTTACTGTAAAGCCTCTAGCTACAATAAAACTGCTGTCAATAAAGTGTGGCTGATGTGGTTTTGCTGTGCTAGAAGAATGGATTCTTTGGAAATGAAAATCCGAAATAGTAACTAGAAGGATCACTTCTCGTGCCTAAACACAAAAGAACATTATCACAAAACTCCAGTAGCATTAAAAACTGATAATCCTATTCTCTCTTCCACGTGTGGTGTAACTGTTATTAGCATTTGTGAAAGTTAGGCATTGTACATCAAGGAAAGAAGAAACTCCAGTGTTTTAGACACTAACTTTTTGCTTGGGAAATGGATTTAAAGAAAGATGAACCGTATTCAATAGTGTACACAAAAATGTTCTATATTCTAGTTTAACTTTTCCCTTTAAAACTGAAGTATAACTTAAGGTTCTGTTCAGATTTACATTATAACCCCTAGTTTTCTCATGCTCTTAACTTTTTCAAAAATTATCTTTTTCAGCTGATATTTTCAATACTTGGCCATAGTGCAAAGATGAATTTATTTAGACAGTTGAACAAAATCTGTTAATCCATTCACAGATTTTGCATGGGTAGAAAAATATTATGTACATTTTAGCATTTCCAATATGTTAGACGTATGCAACTTAAAAACAGCTGCATTTAAATTAACATGCTGTAATTTTCCAGGTGAATAGTCCTCACTGAGGACTAATATCCAGGTTAACTTGTAAAGTAAATAAACATAAGCATAAATGGGAAATGGACAACTGCAACTTTGACACAAAGTGGTAAAATATTGCTACTCAGAACAATAACAGTTACAGAACTATAAAATTCTAGAAATAATTTGTTTTGATCAATGCAAATTATATAGGTTCTGCACTGTCGCTTTTCTGTGAATTTCCATAGTCATATACATCTGCAAGATGCAACTTTGGAAGTATCAGAGATATCTGTGGTTTGTCAACTTTTTTTTTTAACTCTTAAAAGATAGGGACAATGAATACAAAAAATCTAAGGTTACCATTGTAAACACTTCAAAGTCAGAAACTGCCAAAGTGCATAAAATATCACATGTAAATCTTCATTGCTCACATAAAGCCCGTTTATTCACTCCTTGATCAGGCAAAAGTCCCACTGACAGAATAAGGAGTAAAGGATTGACTCCACAGGGTATGTTGTGTTGCTGATTATGCAGCTAAATATGCACCTGAATACAATAAGTGTAACAGGTGTTAGTTAAGAACCGTAATCTTATTTTCTGGTTTGGAGACCTTTAAAGAAGCAGGGATGATATGGTGCTTGTTTAACTAGACAGATTATAGTGGAATTGTGTGCTGTTTTCCCAGGGCTTTATTACTGGCCAGATACAAAAGTGTGATTAAACACATACTTAAAACCATTTTCACTAAGGACAACATTAAAACACATTCTTAACTCTGAGCATGTGCTTAAGTAGCACTAATTTTAATAGAATTTACTCATGTACTTAAAGTTAAGCAGGTGTTTAAGTGTTGCTCTGATGGAAAATTCTTTCCTGAACCAAGGTCTTTGCTCACACCTTTCACTGTTACATTAACATATATTTTGGGCTTTTATAATTCCAGTTTTTCAGAGATGTAATTCCAGACAAAACTGCTCCAGTGAAGCTACACTATCATTAAAATAGCCATTAGTAGGGTAACTCTTATAATAATTTATTTCACAAGGTGTTATATTGGTAAATTCATGGCACAGACAATATTTTTAAAAGACTTTTTACACTGAAAGTGGCAACATACTGCCCCTACTGTATTTTTATTTAGTTTGGCACATTAACTAAATATTCGGAATTGCGTTTTAGTTGAACCAAGTACTGGAAGGAGCACTGACAGATTTCATTACTGTGCATGGGTCATACTAGTGATTTCAAAATTTAAGCGACGCATTTAACATTTTTCCACACTCCTAATTATGGAAATTAGCACTGAAAGGATACTCCCAAGTTCAAGTATTCAAGAATGCTCTCCTTACAGGATCTGTCAGGCATTCTGCATCACAGGCACTTGGAGAGGGCTTTGGTTTTTATACTGGGCACTTTTGAAACATCAACCAGAGCAACTCAAAGTGAAGTGATCTTGCCAAGCAATTTTCAGTTAAACAGCTAATGCCCAGCAAATTATTTTGAAAACTCAGGGATAAATCTTGAAGCATTTTATCTTTGGCTGAACTAATGGGTTAGGGTTGAACTCAAACTCCCATGGGTTTTTTTTGACTGAATAGGAAATAAATTTGGATGTCGGGCTCAAACTCTCTCAACTTTAATGATAAATACATATACCCATTACACGTGTTGCAGATAAACTAATTACAAACTTCAAACAATATGTTCAACTGAAAATATTTTGTGCTAGCATTTATCAATACATTCCTCTCACCTTATGCTTTTCCTATGCCAACATTCTTCACAGCTTTTCATAAACCACTTCCAAAACTTAGAAAAAAACCTGCCAAAAGTACTGGTGAACCTTGTGTTATAGTTTTTATCATAAGATAAAAAGGAGAAATTTGTATTTTTTTATTAAAAAGTCAAGAAAATAATACAGTGACAAAGAACTAAATATTTTCTTCCCAGAATAAAAGCATTTCAGACATCATGAAACTATTATTACATATTCTGTATGAAAAAGTTTATTTAAAGATTGAATATATTCCTTTAAGGTCATATTCTACAAGTCTTAAAAAACACGTACCTATGAAACTATATTTAATTTGTGTCACTGCAGTGAACAGTAGCCAAGATGCATCCTAGCTCAGAGAGATCACATATAAAAAAAAATAGCCCATCTTGGCTATAGTCATCTGGTAGAAAATGTGATGTAGTTAAAAAGCTTGCTTCCTGCAACACTGATCAATGGGAAAATTTAGAGGGGGGAAAAAAAAAATTAAGCAACTATTTATACAAAAATGAATTCTATATCCAATGACACATAGAATTATACCTGACATGTGGCTAGATTTAAATGGCACAGAATGAGAATCGTTCTATTGATTTCAACAGGACTTCAATCAGTTACACAATAAAACAATGCAATATATTGATTACTATTTTTATTTAAAAAAAAAAAAAAAAAAATCAAGACACCACCTCATTTATGAAACAGACAAAAATAAATTTGAAAGAGGTGCCTGGGGATTTTCTGCCCACATTCAACATCACTGTTCAGTGCTTACACATTGTCAGGTAAATCATTTTTGTGATCTTAACTGCTTTTAGAGGCCAAAAGGGGATTAAGTCTGATTCTTGGAATACAGCCTGGGAAGTTAATTTAAGTTATATTACTAGCACCCCTGAACAGGGGGTGGGGGAAGGAGAGAGAGAGAGAGATTTTTAAAGCTAGTAACTAAAATAGGGAAGGAGTGTATCCCGTCTTCTGAACTTCAGACTAACCACAGGTTATCCAGCTACAGATTTTTAAGTCTGCATTTAAAAAAAAAACAAACCCAAAAACTTAAGCTGATAGGTGTGATGTTGTACTGTGTAAAACATTATGAACAGGATTCAGAATATTTTCAAGTCACTGTGAAAAAACGGGTATTTTTTTTGCACAGGGAATTTACTAAGCATTACTTCAGTGCTCCACTTCAAACATAATGAGTACTTTTTCAAAAAATATTTTCTACTGCCTCATAAGTGCATATTTTAAACATGTTGTCTTGTTAGTGTGACAACGTATGAACACCCAAAAGTCAAGAGGCAATTTTGACAACATAACATTCATCTTAGGTAAGGCAAATGCAACAGCAAGAGAATGACTACATCCTAAACTTGGCTACCGTGAACATCTTTTTGCAAAGACAGGCTTAAATGCATCTTGCTCAATTCTATAGGATTTGTACTTTGTGGATTCCTAATATATTCAGACAAATCACCATAACCTGAAGTACAATGCCAACAATAATATGAACGTGATTGCTAAAACCTAGGGAGTTGGTATAGTGAAAGCTAAGAGCTAAGAAGCTGCTTTACAAACACACAAACTTAACTACTGGTCGCTCCAGTACAACTATCATTAAATAAAAGGTTTCTTTGGCTGTAGTATCAGCTTGATCCTTCCCTCCCCCATTTCCTATCTACTGCAGGATTGGCACCTGGCCAGCACAAGCGACATAGTACCTTAGTGCCATCTACAGGCTATATTGACATTCTAATTTAGTGGCAAAAGACAAGCACCAATGAAATAAATTAGACAGCGCTGCATTTAAATCTTTATTAGCAAGGAATTATTAGACCTAAGAAAAACTAATGCTGGATTTGGTTGAAATGAGTTTTTCAGCCTCTTAATCCTTCTTCATATGGCATATTTCACAGTTTAAAATGAGTTATAACAGATCACTTATGCATTACTAAGATGAGAAAATATTTACAATGGGCTGATTTTTTCCTGCATAATTCAGTTGTATTCAGAGAAAATGCATTCCTTTTGAAAGTATACTTTGGCCATTTTTGAAAATATGCAAAAATCTGCATATTAGACACCCCACTTCAATCTATTAGAACAATATTATTCTCAATCAAAAACAGAGGAAGACTTCCGTATGGCTTAGTTATGTCCTAACAACAAACCATGTGCTTCACAGATGAAGTACGTTGGAAACTCAGCAATCTTTGCAAGGGAAAAAAAATTAACCCCTTTAACAATAGTAACATAAGAACGTTGCAAATCAGTTGGAACTATAAAAGAAACTCAAGCTACCCTCATTTCAAATTTGAAAGTGAATGTACATATCCCATTACATCTCAAAACTGTCAAATTTTCTCTCTCAGTGAAATTTGGCATATTAGGAAAACCGTATTTCGTCTTCAGTATCCCAAACATTGGAACAGTCCTGAGGAACATTTTTAACAACTGCTTTTCAGTTTTGTTCCATTATTTATGCACACGTGCATTTGCACAGATGCATGTAGATTTTTCCAATAATCAGCGACTCTTAATACTGAAATACCAGAGACATTTTTAAATACATGGTTGAGCCTCAGAGAAATGATAAAGGGGTCAAGTTTTTTTTTCCTCTCTCCACATTATAACTAAGCTAGAATTAGACCAAAGCAAAAGACATACTGGCACTTTAATACTGGTTGATTGGGCACTTGTATGCAGTACTTATAGACCAGTAAAAGTGCTCGTTTACCTGTCTGGTGTGTAAGGGGCCCTTTGTCTTGAAGCCTCCTTGGGAACTGCACTCTGAGGCACTGAAGTGATCTGAACTAGTGGAAGAGCGTTTGGAAAGGGTGTCGCAACCACCAACAAAGGTGTTGTCCAAGGGAAGTTCCTGAATCACATGATGCTTTTTCACTGAAACTGGAGTGTCAGGTTTAAGATGAAAAGCAGACTGTGGGGAAGCAGATTTGTAATGCTTTGCAAGGTCAGGACTGTTAGGCTTAAAGGTTGTTGGTGGTGCTGTGCCCCAATCAAATCTTCCTATACTTTGCTCCTCCAGCTCTGCTGGAAGGCTTATTGTCCCGTTGATAGGTTCATGAACTGCATCATCAGGTTTGGACTCCTCAATGGTCACAAAGTTCAAAAGAGAGCTCTTAGGAGACTTCCTTTTCTTCCTTTTCTTTTTCTTGTTCTGCTTGTTCTCCTGATTGGGAGACATCCATTCAGCACCTTGCTTGCTCCTCTGTGCTGCTTTGAACCTAGACGCATGTCGACAGCGAACCAGAACCGTGACAAATATCACCACTATGACAACCATCGCACCTGCCACGATAGCAATCATGATGGTAAGATAGTCCTCATTTTGATAGGGTTGGCTACTGTCCCCTATGTTCCGGTCCAAGGGCGTTTCCATAGTCCTGCGTATCAGGTCATAAATGTAAGAGGCATTTCCAGCAGTGTCATTTACATACAAAAATACAAGCACAAGAGTATGCAAGGATTTAGGATAACCCAAATCACTTATGTTGACAACTAGACGATGCAGCCCCACGTCAGTAGGAGTTGGTTTTTCTTCCAGAGTAATGTTACCTGTCACTGGATCAATACGAAATAAACCTTTGTTATTTCCACTCACAATTGTATATTTAAGCTCAGCATTCATTCCAGTGTCTATATCCACAGCAAACACTTCTGCTACTACTGAGCCTGGGATTGCCGAGAGTGGCACCAGCTTAAATGAAGTATTAGAAGGTGGGTAAATCACAACTGGGCTATTATCATTAACATCCATTACATTTATTGTTACTTTTGCTGTAGAAGAACGAGGAGGCAGTCCTCCATCAACGGCCTTAACATCAAAGGTGTAAGAGCTCTGCTGTTCTCGATCAAAAGAAACATTGGACTTGATAACTCCAGAGTAAGGATCCAGCACAAAGTTCTCATTGTCATTCAGGATGGAAAGGGTCACTGCTTTATTTTCCCCTGCATCTGCATCAGTCACTGTGATCACCCCCACAGTACTATACTTTGGTAAATTCTCAGATACAAAAAACTGAAAGTGATTATGAGTAAATTTGGGACTGTTGTCATTTTCATCCAGTACAGTAACAATCACAGCTGCCTGACTCTGCAGAGGAGGGGTGCCATTGTCCCTGGCCGTAACAGTAAAAATGAAACGTTCTTGCTCTTCTCTGTCAAAAACTCTGGAGGCTGTTAAAACACCTGTCTTCCGATCCAGATCGAAAAAGGAGGCATTAGGGCCAAGCTGATAAACAATGTCTGCATTTTTCCCACTGTCTTCATCTGTGGCACTAATAGTTGTTAAGTATAGACCGCGACGGTTGTTTTCAGAAACTGACAGCTCAATTACAGGCTGGCTGAAAATTGGAGGGTTGTCATTTTCATCCTCCAGTTTAACTCTTACCAGGGCAGTCTGGTTCAGACTGGGCTTGCCAGAATCAGAGGCAACAATTTTAAAGCTGAATTCTTTGGTGCCCTCATAGTCCAACAAGGAAGAGGTCTCTAACAAATACTGGTTGTCGTAAACTGCCTTCAAGTGAAATGGGACCTCTCTCTCAATGAAACAGATCACTTTGCCATTCACATCAGTGTCCTTATCTGAAACCGTAATTAGGGCAATCTTTGTATTGACAGGATCTTTCTCAGACAAGTACACTGTGCCATTGATAGGACTTATAATGTACCTGAGGTCTATGTTAGGAGGGTTATCATTTACATCAGTGACATTGATGGTAACAGTTGCCCGAGCTGGAGTAGAGCTGCCATCACTTGCCAGCACTGTCACCTTGTGAATAGCAGTCTCTTCTCGATCTAAGGACCTCTGAACTGTTATCAGTCCTGTAGTGTTGTTTAGAGCAAAGAGTCTTTTGGTTGCAGGGGCAACTTGGGCACCAAAAATATATCTGATTTCTGCATTGCTTCCTATATCTGCATCTGTAGCATGAAGCTGAATTACAGAGGTACCCACAGGGGCATTCTCAGGGATATGAACCTCCACCTGACTCTCTTTAAAAACAGGCCTGTTATCATTGACATCACTTACTGTGACTTGCAGTATGGCTGTGCTGGATTTCTGAGGGCTCCCTCCATCTTCTACTTTAATTTTCATCACATAGGTGTCTTTCTGCTCTCTATCCAAGTTCTGCTGCACAATGAGTTGAGGCCATTTCTCTCCTTCAGGAGTTTCCACGATATCCAGTCCAAAGACACTCTGCCCATTTAACAACTCATAGTGCTGCACCCCGTTGAACCCGGTATCAGGATCTGTGGCTGATGGAATTGGAAAGCGGCTGTTGATCAAAGTGTTTTCTGGTATGGAGATGTTGATGACAGGAGATGGAAACATGGGTGCATTGTCATTGGTATCCTTTACGATGATTTTTATTTTGATCAGCCTAAAGAAGTCATTGGGGAGAATCACCACTTCAAGTTCAAAGAAACACTCATTTTCCTCAGCATAGGAGACTCCAGCACAGAGTTTTTCTCTGTCTATTCGATTTGAGGTGGTGAAGATTTCTCCGGTGGTGCTGGACACTCTAACCAAAGGGGCATCCCCAGCTTTAGAGACCAGTCTGTAGACGAGGCTAGCGCTGGTCCCTGTGGCAGCATTGATATGAGAAATGTTCAGATCCTTTGGTATGTTCCCTATGGGCACATTTTCAGGCAGCTCCTCTCTAATAGTGTAAATAAGTTCTTGAGCTATAGCAGAATCCAGCCTCAAACAGGCAATCAGAGCAGCCAACAGGTAAAAATCCCTCAGGTCCATGATAATGTGTTTATTCTCTTTTTCTGGATTTTAGGATTTAAAGGTTTCCACAGAGGAATGGTGCACGATTTGCAAGAGGCGGCGTGCATGGACTGCAGGATGCATTACATCTCATTTCTTATTTGGAGACAGCAACTGTCAACACAATCATACAGACAAGCATTATTGTTTCATAAATAAAAAGCAAAACAAATCCACAATCCCCGCTCCTTTCTTTGCAGCGCACGCTTGCCAACGGTACATTTCCCTGCTGCTCCCTTCTCCAAAGCAATCCCTCCAGACGAATGCACCAATACCCCGTTAGTTGCATTTGCACATAGTGAGAATGCAATTAACTACTTGCAGGATTAAGGGCAGCTCTAGTTTCGGCACGTACTTTCCCAGTCGCTTCTTAGCACACGGTGTAAAACAGAACATGCATTTCCCCTACACCCTCCTCCACCCAAGCATTTTTGTGCAAGTGAAAAAGGTTTCCGTACTTCCCTGATGCTAACTGCCATGTCAGCTGCCAAATGGGATTTGTTGTCTGGTGCCGTGAAGTGAATGTCTGTTTTTTTTCCCCCCATGCTAACCAGATTTTTCTTTCCCCCCCGTGCCTTGCATCTCCCCTTCTACTGCTATCGTACTGGGAAATAAGTACCCGGACATGCTGCAGCAGTACCAGCAACAGCAGCAGTCGTCACTGGCTACTTCACATCCCTATTAACTAGAGAGACAATAACAGGACTTACAGTTTCTTACACAGTAAGCTCGATGTCTCTTCTCCAGATGTTGGATACTTCTCCCTATGTTTAACAACGTTCAACTTTATTTATTTATTTTTTTAATGCAGCCTAAATCAAGGGAGAAGGGGGCAGGGGGTAGGAATTCCCAATACAACTTAGAAGTGGTCAACATCTTTACAAAGAAAATGCAGAAAATAATATTTTCTGATGGGGGGGAAGGGAAAAAAAGGGTGCAGCCTTTCAACACTGACATAGATCTCCCCTCAGGATGTTATTAGCAGCTGCCACACACAAATGCGGCAGGCTAATAATGCAGGTGAAAAAATAAATAAATAAATAAATAAATAAATAAAACAGACCTCTGCTTACATGCTCTGCTAGCCGCAAATTAAACACAGGCTCCGAAGCGCGTAGACCGGTTGGTGGCCCCGGTCAGCTCTTTAGCCCTAATCTTATCTGCATTAAAGAAACCCGGCAGCCGATGCCCGCAATTACTTCCAGCCTGGGGATGCAGGTAGGGATGCAGAGGCAGCCGGGGTAGGTGAGCCTGTGCCACAAGCCTCAGTTGAATCCCAAACAGCAGCTCCCTGCCTGGATCTGTAGCTTTTGCTGGGTGTGTGTGTGTGTGTCTCTATGTGCGTGCGCATATCGGTGTGTGCACTTCATATATATATACATATATATATACACACACAC